CGTGGCTGGCGCCTTAGCCTGTTGAGCTATAGGCGCCGAGCCCCCACAATTTTAAAAAAAATTTCTTTCAGCAGTGTTTTGTAGTTTTCAGTGTACAAAAAAAACTTATGTCTCCTTGGTTAAATTTATTCCTAAACAGTTTATCCTTTTTCATGTTATTATAAATAGAATTGTTTTTTCAGTTTCATTTTGGGGTTATTCATTGCTCATATGTACAATTGAGTGTTGTGTATTGATCTTGAATCTTTGCTGAACTTGCTTATTCATAGAGATTTTGTGTGTGCATATATTTTCTTAGGATTGTCTACATATAAAATCATTTTATCTGCAAATAGAGATAATTTTACTTTTTATTTTCAATCTGGATGCCTTTTATTTCTCTTTCTTACCTAATTGCTCTGGCTAGCATTTCCTGTTGACTAGAAAAGGGGCATTTTTGTCTTGTTCCTGAGTGTAGGAGATAAACTTTCTGTCTTTTATTGTTCAGTGTGATGTTAGTGTGAGTTTTTCATAAATTGTCCTTTATCAGGTTGAGGAAGTTCCCTTCTATTCCGAGTTTGCTGTTTGTTTTTATCATGAAAAGCTGTTGAATTTTGTGAAAGGCTTTTTCTAATTAATTGAGATATTTTCTTTTTTTCCTTTATTCTGTTAATGTGGTTTATTTTACATTGACTGACTTTGTATGATGAATCACTGTTACATCCCTAAGATAAATCCCACTTGGTCAAGGTGTATAATCCTTTTAATCTTGTTGGATTTGATTTGTGCTAGTATGTTGTTGATTTTTATGCCGGTATTTCTAAGGGATATTGGTCTGTCTTCTAATGCCTTTATCTGCTTCGTAATCAGTATAATGCTGACCTAATAGAATGAATTCCCTCCTTCTTTTGGGAAGAGTCTGACATGAATTGGTATTAATTCTTTAAATGTTTGGTAGAATTCACCAGTGAAGCCATCTTGTCTTTGGCTTTTCTTGGGTGGTTTTTACAGATTCAACCTCTTCTTGCTATAGGATCTTTTCATATTTTATATTTCTTCTTGGGTCATTTGTATGTTTCTAGATATTTGTCCATTTTATTTAGCTTATCTGATTTGTTGGCATATGATTATTTATAGTATTCTTTTATAATCCTTTTCTATTTCTATAAAGTCAATAGGAATATCCTTATTTTCATTTCTGATTTTAGTAATTTGAGTCTTTTCTTAGTCTAGCTAAAGGTTTATCAATTTTGTTTATCATTTTAAAGACTCAACTTTGGTTTTGCTTATTTTTTCTATTGCTCTTATTGCATTTTAATTAATACTCTGAGTCCTGGGGTTAGCCTATGGTTATTTTCAAAGATTGTAATGCTGTGGATCAAAACTGTTGTATGTATAGTGGAGAGGGTCTATAGTTGGGTTCTCAGTCATTGGTTCAAATCCCAGCTTTGGCATTTACTGATTCTGAATCTTGGGCAAGTCATTTAAACTTTCTTAACTGGAAAAATGGAGATAATATCTACCAGAAAGTTAAGTTACTAATAATTCATCAGTAAAATGGAGATAATATCTACCTTAAAGTCATTGTGAGGATTAAATGACATTTTTTAATGTCTGACAGGCTAAATCTTGTGTTGTTTATTCTGCTTGTTGGATAGGTTCTCTGCTGTATTTTCAAATGACTTTAAGTCTGTCATTGCCTCTTAATAAACCAGGAATTCAGAGGACTGTGAGCACCTGCTTCTGAGATTTATATCCTTCTCACTCCCAAAGGGTCCCTGTGTTCTAATCCTCTCAGCAGGTTGCTGGATTACCACTTTAAGGATATTGTTCAT